TGCCTGTCCATCTGTGTTCCCACCATTGTGGGTTGGGATTGTTATTTGCCGCCAAATGCACCCTCACTGTTCTGCGTGACAAATAAAATCTGGTGCTATTTGCAGTTCCGAACGTTTTATGATCACAGTTTTAATGCTTAGGTAACAACAGAAGCATGAAGGCATGGGAGAGAATGGGACCTCTGGCTCAGCCTCTGTATTTTAAAGATGGGAAGGTCAGATATCTGGTATGATTGAAGGCTCGCAGCCATTCAGGGACAACTGAATCTACAATGGCATCTCCTGGCCCTTTTTGTAATAATATCCTGCCACCTCATGAGGACTTGAAATAAATGAAACAACAGCCTTCCATTTAAAAAAAGAAAAACAAAACAACAAAGAACAATCACATTAAGCTGTTCCCTGGAACACGGGTATTAACTAGGTTTTAAGTTCTTTCAACATAACATGAGTCAACGGGAAGAGCACTTGACATCGAGAATCCAAATCTGTACCGAAAAGAGCAGGATCAGGACCCTCGCAGGGGTGGAGGCCACCAGCACTGAGGCAACCGATGGCCGCCGTCAGGCAGGAGTGAAGAAGCCGACTCCGCCACTGAAGGAGCGCCCGCGGCGGTGCTGGTCACGAGCCGCAGCACCTGGCTTTCTCTTTTTCTGTTCGGACAGCTTTCTCCAAATAAAACATGGAGTGTTTCATCAACCATAATGAAGATTGCCTGTCACTCCCTGAACGCCATGGTATGGTTGGTGGCCAGTGGATAATGGACCACAGAGTGTCAAGGTGACTGGCTTTCAATGCACACAAAACTAGAAATTATAGACCTGTCACTCCAGAGGCAGCCCACAATTAGCTGTCTATGCAACTTGAAATTTCCATTTTGCCAGCTGAGTAATCACTTGACTAGAGTTTCTCATTTTGGAAGCATTTCTGAGCCTTTTGTGTCCAAGTCCTCTAAAATGTGGATCTGAAAGTAAATAAACAGTGTCGTTAATCAGATGTATTCTTGGTCCAAACATCCCTTCCCAAACACACAGGCAAGCCCCAATATTGTTATCATAGTAACGACAATCACGAGACAAAGCAGTGTAATCCTTGGGCATTGTATTTAGATAATGTGAAAGGTCAAGCTGTAAAACAAGACTCGTGTCTTAAAACATGGTGCTTGGAGTTTAGGAAAAGCAACCGAGATTTTGATAGTCAAGGGCCTTGACCGGGGGAATAAGTAAGAAATGAAACCAATACCCAACTTGGGCACTTCGTCTTAGACGCTCACTGATGCAGAAGTATCCACTTGCCGGTCTCCTATTTAGATTTGGTTTATAATTCCACATCAAAGTGCAACCTTTTCTCTACCCTTGTCTTTTAGAGTTGAGGAGATCAACACCAAGGGGGGCTGTGCTGGAAAGTTGCATCTTGACCTCAATTTTAAGGACAGTTGTCATCGAGGTCCTGCAGTCGCAGCTCAGACCCGAGGAGCTCTACTGAACACAAGCTTCTCAGGCCTGCCTCCGGCCCTCCCTCCAACCTGGCTGTCCTGTGCTCCTGCTCATTTGGAGGATCTTTATCTGAAGTTAGACTGCCAAGTGACAAGGACACAGAGAAGCTGGCAGTCGATGCAAATGAAGGAAAAGATCAGCTCTGAGTCTGACATCAGAAGCCTGTGAGCGCAGCTCTGCCTACGAAGTGCGGCAAACTTCAGATTTCATTTCGCCTTCGTCGTGGCTTCAGTGACTAGGGATGCTGGCTAGGGTTGGTCACACAGCACTGAAAAGACGCAGTAGAAGAACTGGCACTGTAAGCGAACTGAATTTGTATGGTGTTGAGATAAGTCCTAAGGAGGCTCTTGATGGTGGAATATCGACAATTCTATTGTTTTGAGTGACTGAGTGTCATATTTTACTGGCAATTGATTTCCAAGCCTTGGTCAGTGAGTGATTGAATTTGTGACTCGAGTTGCTCTGTTGTGTAACTCGGATTGTGCAGGGTCAGGGCCAACAGCCACCAAGGTGTAGCACAGCGTTTTGTCCATGGATTCTACCTAATTTCTTGTGTGTGTGTTTGTTCACATGTGTGTGCATTACAGAACCAAAATCTTTACTTTTTTCATCTCCTTAAGCAAAAGCAGGGCATAATCAAGTATTGCAGGAGGCTTGACTATTAGGTTTACAGGAATTTCAACCAGTAGCTGGTTAATATGCTCTCTTCTATTTAAAAAAAATTCATACATCTTTGCCATTGATTCCTAATGAACAGCGTGTGCATGCACACACATGCGCATGCGTGCGCGCACACACACACACACACACACACACACACACACACACACACAGCGGGGAGAAGGCTTTGAGAACCAAGATAAAATCTCTTTAATTCCAAAAATGTCCATTTAAGAAAAATAAACCGCAGATAAACGAAGGCTATTTTCTGTACAGGAAGGTGCGTTCAAACTAACAGAACCGGCAAACGTGGGCTTAATTAGGTGGAGTCAGATGGGTATCAATTATTCACCTGCCTGGCTGATGAAGGAAAGAAGCAGGCCTGGAATTGGCTTCTGCCCAGCCCTTCCTGGGAGGCTGCGGGCTGAGGACAAGAGCGCAGAAGGGCGGAGGCAAGCCTGCCCCGGCGTCACAGCTGGGGCTGACCGTCCCTGGAAAGCCTAGGATCACCCAGTGACAAGAAGCGTTATTGACTACCTGTTCTGTGGCAGTAAGGCCTCTGAGTGTGGAATGCGTGGGGACCCGACTGTGTGGCTCTGTCCAATACTTTCAAAATAGTTGTCCTTACTGTAAGAGTTTTGCATGCTCTAGACTTGGGGACAGTGGCCAGGAGTGATCAATAATTCAAACGGAAGAATACCACACAGGGGTTAGGTTCGCTTACTTTTCCCAGTCTGTAAAAATGAGTATTTGTCACAGGCTTCACGGGAGTAGCTCTTTAAAACTACTGCACTAAAAGACCAGCAACTGCCTTTGTGTACAATTTGTTTGGTCCTGGGTCAAATGGAACTTAGGAAGGAGATGTAGCTGAGGCGGGCTGGCATTGCACAGCTGTGACCTGAGTACACTGGGAGGCTGAGGCAGGAGGATCACAAGGGCGAGATTAGTGCTGGCAGTTTAGTGAGATGTTTCAAAATTAAAATTTAAAAGCCAGGGATGTAGCTCAGTGTGAAGATCCTAGACTCAGATACCAGGACTGAAAAACAAAAAGGACACCTGATGAGCAGAGAAGGAACATGTGACTGTTGTGGCTGTTGGGACAGTCGCAGACGCAGAAGGAAGCTCTCACTCCAGAGGGTCCCCGGGCGCAAGTGACTCTGTTCCCACGTGGTCTTCACGCTTCCCACGTTGCTGCCAACCTCATGCTAATTGCCTTTTATAGCTGAGAAAACCAACACCTGTGACTTGATCCAAATGGACATCTTGTCGATGGTCAGGTCGGTGTCAGACTCCAAAGCTTGTCATTTCCTGGTAAAAGACATCTTTTCCTGAGCGATTTCTTCTAATCACGGGGCCCTGAAAATAAGCAGTCTTTGCAGAGGAGCTCTGCATTCCTGCAGGCTGCTTCAAACAGCTCCCTGAAAAGTCAAAATAATGATCTCAACTTAACAAGTCCATATGCATTTTGATCTGGTGGTGCAAAAATAGGATTCTCCGTGTGAGACTCTCTTCCGAATCCCACGGTGATAAGGTGGAAGAGTGGTGGCAGCCAGGAAAGGCCACGAGGTGCGCAGGGACAGAACAGCCACAGAGCTGCTGCCACACCTTCTGCCACAGGCAGTCAGCCACGATTTCCCAGTAGTGCAGAAAACTGCTCAAAAAGGGACGAACGTAGAAACGAGCACAAGTTTGCCCTACACTTGAGTCATCTGGCATTATTTTTAAAGGTGAGATTCCATGTGGTTTAAGGCCCCCATCCCTTCATTTTGAGAGAAGTTAAATTAGACCACTGTACTTCAAAAATTTATGAAAAATATTCTGCATCATGCTTGGAATATCTTTAATTTCTACCAAAGCTGACTGAAGTTTAGTCTCTAAATTAAGAAAAATTCTAATGCAACTGTAAATATATTTGTCACATTTGTTGCTACATTTGCGGAGGTAGGTGAGTCAGAAACAAGTGCTATAAGGAAGGCTATTTATAGACAAATGTAATGAATAAATTAAATTCCAAATTAGTACAGATCTGGTAATACATTCCACTCCTCTTCCATATCTCAGTTTATTTCCATTTTATGGTCAGCTTTGGCACTTGCCCGTGGCGCAGTGCTGTTTTTCTGGGGGAAAGCACCTTTTCAGAAGAAGTAGAGGTTAACCAAGTTTTATGTCTCCGTTAAACTCTCTTTTTGAATAATGCATTACTATGAACTATCTCAAAACTGTATGTACACAGAGATTGGGCCTTTAATGAATGTATCATTCTTGGTTAAGATTCTGGCTAGGCTTAGCTCCCACGCGGAAACAGTCATAAATAATGCAGCGCCTGCTAAGTCAGGTTACTATCAAAGCAGCACTGGCGGGGCATTTCAAACGCCCCCCTCCCCAGTCCTGCAGTGAAGTGCTTTAGAAACTCCTGCAGCGCCCACCCCAGGAACCGCCCCCATTCATCCAGCTCCTCCAGGGATGTGTTCCCTCCACGCAAGGTGCCCTGTCGCAGGGTGTGCATGTGTCTGTCACTGTCTCCCAGTGGCCTGCCCACTGCACCTGGGTCAGGCCCCCAGATGCAGGAGCCACGGTCGGTCCGCGGGCTGAGACTCTGCGAGCCCTCTGCTTGCTCCGTGCAGGCCGCGGCGGACGCGGGCACTAGCGTGAGGCTGCCGTCCTGCACGGCCACACGGCGACAGTGACACGCGACAGGGTGATAGGGTGACAGGGCGACACGGCGACAGGGTGACGGGGTGAGGGGCGCCACGGCGACGGGCGAAGGCCCACACCGCCAATCAGCGCGCCCGGCGGTCACCGCAGCCCGGCTCCGATTGGCCAGCGCGCCAGCGTGTTCTTGCTGTCGGTTTGAGCGGAGGCAGGGGGTGGTCTCCAATCAAACAGAGAAAAGGTCCTGGAGAAGGTAATTAAATCCTGTCAGAGGCAATTATCGGTTCCAGGGCCGCGACTCTGGCCCTGAATGCAGATGCTCTGAGCCGTATTCGGCGGAAACGCAGGGGGCCCGCTCGCGCAGTTGGGCACAAAGGGCGCAGCAGGCTCCCGCGAACAATGCCGCTCTGTCTGCAGCCTCCCGCCCACCCCTCCCTCCTTTCTTTCCCTCCACCAAGACTTCTGCTCTCGCTGATCAAAAAATATTCCTTTCCAGGCCACATTCTAATTAATTTAATAGACAAGGTTTTCCTTTCCTATACATAAATAATGGCAAGCTTTACCAAAGGGCTCTGCCCCTAACATGGCCTGTGACAAACAGCCTTGGCCAGGGCAGGCCCCGCGCGGCACGCGGGACACCAGCTCTGCTCAGGAAGGCGGAGGAAATATGAGAGCCCTGCTGGGCGTCCCGCCCTGCCTCCCACTGGCCCTCTGTCTGTCTGTCTGTCTGTCTGTCTGTCTGTCTGCCTGCCTGCCTGCCTGCCTGTCTGCCTGCCTGCCTGCCTGCCTGCCTGTCTGCCTGGCCCTTAATGCGTGTGGGTGGAGTTGGCTGCCAGGACAATCCTGGAGTTTTTCCACGGTGATCTTGCAGGGATATGGGCTGCAGTTTTATTTTTAAATTCACAGACAAGGCAGGGTGTGGTATGTGAGCAAAAGGCTTCCCCTGCTGTACTTCGGAGAGTTTTTCACCAAGGCTTGGAAACTCTGAACAGAAAGAAAAGAGCACTGTGTTTTATATGGGAAGAGAAAGCGGCGAGAAGCCGGCTAGGCACAGGCTCCCACTTGTACAAATACAAGACTTCAGCTCTGCTTCCTTGTGTTTTCTTTTCAGCCGCTGTTAAATAAGCTTTAGGAGGTGGCTTTTGCCTGGGAACTCGCTGCTCAAGAGTGGATGTCTCTCCAGGTTCTGAATAATCCTCATTGTTCTGTGCAGGGGGCCGGTGCAGCGTGGAGACGCTCAGTTCCTGTGAAGTCATGCCACAGTCCAGCCCTCTCACAGACCTCTGGGGGCACTGGGCTCCCTCAGCACTGGCCTCTGGACCCAAGGCTGGGTCTCAACCTTCGTGCTTTGTGAGCCCAGGTTTTGCAAGAATAAGGTGTTCAAAACACCAGTAAAACAATTTCTGTATTGCTGCTGATGAAACAGTTTAACCACGAGGGTTTCTCCCCAGGGAGCAGTTAGCTGTCCTCTAATCTTGGTTGTTTTCTTTGTTTCTAGAACACCGTAGCCCTTAATATACTTTATTTGTTTTGTTGAAGCCTAAACAGATCTCTAAGCAAAACATCATTAAAAAAAATAGCCCTGCTGCCAGCCGGTTCATCAGAATGAGGTGTTGGGCTGTGAAAGAAATTGATGGCGAAGATACTAATAATAATGAAAAGCAATTTGGGCACTAGCTTTGAAGAAAATCTGGTCAAATGGATTAAAAAATTAAAAATCTCAAATTTAAATCTTCACATCTAAATCTGCCCAGCCTCCGTCCTTTGTCCCCTTCCCCTTTGACATCGCCCTGTCCCCCCACTCCTTGTTACCTATCACCTGTCTCTTATTTGGCTTTTTATCTTTACTGTGGGATTCTTGTATCAGACAAGCTGCGTGACATTTAAGCTTCTCTGTCTGAAGAAGAAACATTTCTTGTAAATAAATTAAAAGATTGGAATACTTTCTCATCATAATTAAGCTGAGTGTTGCTAGAAGAAGAGAAGAAGAAGAAGAAGAAGAAGAAGAAGAAGAAGAAGAAGAAGAAGAAGAAGAAGAAGAAGAAGA